AGCAGGGCGAGCCTGGTGTGGAGACGGAGAGAGGACGGAGGCGGGGCTGTGGAGATTTTGTGGGTCGGGGTGATTTGGTGGTTGTTGGTCATCGACAGGAAATAGGAAGCACGAGCTAGGTTTTCGTTATTATTCGCTAGGTATTTAGTTATTATTCGCTAGGTTTTCGTCTATGAATTTTTGCACAAATCATCGCCTCTGTGTTTTGTTATTTTTCTCTAGGTTTTCGTCTATGACTTTTTTGCACAAATCATCGCATCTGTGTTTTGTTATTGTTCGATAGGTTTACTCCACTCTACCACCTTTGTGTTTAGAATTATTCGCTAGGTTTTCGTCTATGACTTTTTGCACAAATCATCGCCTCTGTGTTTTGTTATTGTTCGCTTGGTTTTCGTCTATGACTTTTTGCACAAATCACCGCCTCTGTGTTTTGTTATTGTTCGATAGGTTTTCGTCTATGGCTTTTTCACAAATCATTGTCTTTGCCCAGCATTTTGCAGCCCATCTCGAAATACTGCCGGTGGAATACTAATAATAATAATAATAATAATAATAATAATAATAATAATAATATTATTATTATTATTATTATATAAAAACCTAACATGTGAGTTACTATACATTAGTGCCTCTCACACTCCTCCAAGTGCAAGTGGGGAAGTTCCAAGTCATTCTTTTACCCCACTCTGCACTCTACCACCTTTGTGTTTAGTTATTATTCGTTAGGTTTTCGTCTATGACTTTTTGCACAAATCATCGCCTCTGTGTTTTGTCATTGTTCGATAAGTTTTCGTCTATGGCTTTTTGCACAAATCATTGCCTTTGCCCACCATTTTGCAGCCAATTTCGAAATACTGTCGGTGGAATCCTAAGTTGTTCCTCACCACCGTTTCCCAAGGCCGCTACCATAAGTTTTGTACCAGGACCGAGTTGCATCTTCTTTAGTGTTTTATTCTTTCTTTTTTCCTTTTTGTTGAGTATTAATTAATTATTAATATATAAAAGCCTAACATGGGAGTTACTGTTGATTAGTGGCTCTCACACTTCTCCAACTGCAAGTGGGAAAGTTCCAAGCCCTTCTTTTACCCCACTCTCCACTCTACAACTTTTGTGTTTAGTTATTGTTCGCTAGGTTTTCGTCTATGGCTTTATCCACAAATCATTGTCATTTCCCATCATTTTGCAGCCCATCTCGAGATACTGTCGGTGGAATTCTAAGTTGTTCCCCACTACCGTTTTCCAAGGTCGCTACCACGAGTTTTGTATCGGGACCGATTTTCATCATTTTTAGTGTTTTTTCTTTCTTTTTCCCCCCTTTTTGTGGAGCATGATGATCACAATTGAACCCAGACACATGAATATCCTAACTTGAACACAAATATCGCCTTTGTCCACCATTTTGCAGTCCATCACGAAATACTGTCGGTGGAATCCTAAGTTGTTCCTCACCACCGTTTCCCAAGGCCATTACCACCAGTTTTGTATCAGGACCGAGTTTCATCTTCTTTAGTGTTTTTTCTTTCTTTTTTCCTTTTTGTTGAGCATGATCACAATTGAACTCAAACACATGGGTATTCTAACTCGAACACAAATCATCGTCTTTGCCCACCATTTTTCCTTTTTGTTGGGGTCATGAGCGAGTTTTACCCGCTTTAGTATTTTTTTATATCTTTTTCCTTTTGGTTGAGAATGACAATTGAGTTCAAACGCATGGGTATACAACCTAATTCGACCTGACCAAAGTGACTTCAACCCGATTTTACAAGTTTTCGGTGGGAGCGAGTTTTATGTGTTTTTTTAATTGGCGGGTTGTGTCGGGAGTGAATTTGTCCAAGAATTTGTGCAACCTGGTCAAAGCGAGTTGAACCTGGTGTTGACGAGTTTGAGTCGGTAGCGAGTTTTAGCTTTAGTATTTTTCATTTCGCTTTTTCCTTTTGTTTGAGAAAGACAATTGAACCCAAATCCATGGATATCCAACCTAATTTGACCGATCAATGCGAGTTGAACTTTCTCAAACCTGCAATCAGTCTAAAATTTTCATAAAAGAGAACCACGATTAGCTCAAACCCAAAAAAAAAAAGGAATACCAAAAGAGTACGACTGTGTTTGGCCTGAATTTTAGAAGTTTTATATTTCAAAAGTTGAAGCCAATGTCAAACACCTCTAAAGTTCCACTTTTTAAAAAATTAATTTTTTCGCAATTTAAAAGGAGAAGCTCCGATTTGAAAATACAAAATTGTTCTTACCCTATATTATTCTTTTTCTAGAAAACATTATTTTCTTTCATTTATATCATTATAAAAATAAATTGAAAAATATTATTATTTAGTATGAAAAAAATCTAACATGATTCATATTAAATAGTTTTTTATTTTTAGAATTTGTATTCATATTTTATGTTAAAAATCTTTTTTAGTCATTTTCCATTACCTCTTATATTAGAAAGTAATTCTGATAGTTTTTTTCAGCTAAACACTCTACAGTTTTTTTTTAAATACTTCTTGAAAAGATCCCGAAAACATAAATAATGTATTCGACGACCCTTCTACCTTATGCAATTTCATCGACCATGTGCTATTGTGAATAACAAACCTATGAAAAGAATGATTATGAATGAAATAAGATTACTTTCACTTTTGGGTCAACATTAAAACTATTATTCTTTAAAATATTTATTTTCTGATATGCGAAGCGATAGCGAGCGGGCTTTTGCTAGTCTCTATAGATGGTAAAATTAATTAGAAGGTCTAAGTGGGGAGGAAGGTAAAGATGATAGTGATCTAATGGTTAATGGTGTTTAATTTTTTGGTTAAAATGTTAAGAAATCAGAGTGACGGATGATAGATCGACAAAAAGGAGATTTATTTATTAATTTTGGTTTTGCGGTCAAATCGAAATAGAATCTAAATCAGTTCGAACAAACCAAACCGAAATCATGTTCGCTTCTTAATCAATTAATTGTGTGAGCTTTTTCAGATTCGGTTTTTATGAGGCTCGATTCGATACCAAATGCCCATCCTAAATAGCTGAAAAATAAATAAACTAAATCTCTATTTAACGCCCTAACTTTTTAAAATTTTCGACCTAAACTTGCAAAACAGACAATTTTACCCCAAACTAATAAATCGTGACCGATGTTTCGGCCTAATCAGTCCTTGCTCTGCTAACTCCGCCCGTTGGCGTCACCAAGTTTTCGCCCTAGTCAGTTCTCGCTCTGCTACCTCAGCCCGCCGCCGTCACCGCCACCTCAGCCAGTACGCCGCTCGAAGACGAAGGAAAAAAATTGCCATAGTCCGTCCTCACTCTGCTGCCTCCACCCGTCGCCGCCGCCACCCCATCCGCTGCGCCGCTCGAAGATGGAGAAAAGTCGCCCTAGTCAATCCTTTTTTAGCTTGACCGTCAACCAGGAGGGCGCCACCTTGTTCAGATTGGCGGACCAGGGACCACACAGATGGTTTTCTCTGGGATTTTGTTGTACCAAATGACTAGGAGGAAGCCGCTGCCGGCGACTTGTTGGAACCCAAACGCAAATGGTCTTTTTTTTTTTTGGTCCTTTCATGCGGCGCCGGCGATGAGCGATAAGCCTATGACAACGATGAGCAGTAGTAGAATTTGGGTTGGGAATAATACTAAATTAGTCTTTAAAATTGTTACGTCTATGCCTGAGTTGTTAGAAGGAGAGAGAGTGAGAGAGGTCTAGTGCCAGATAGAGTGAATAGGAGAGAGAGAGACTAAGAAGAAAATCAGACCGAGGATATTTAAGTAATTTTATATGTTTTAGGGCGATTAATTTAAATATTTAGGGCGACGAATAGTAATAGATTTCCAAACAACGATATACAAGCCAGCTTAATCGCAACATGATCTTTGTCTTAAAAATATATGGGTAAATGCCACATTTGATCACTGTAATTACTAAATCATGTTATGTTTAGTCACTAGAAAAAATTAATATCAATTTTGGTCACTCGAATTATTAAAACAGGTCACATTTAGTCACTCTCCCATTAGCCTCCGTCCAACGCTGGTCACTCGAATTACTTTTTTTTTTTAATGAATATCAATCGAATTACTGAAACATGTCACATTTAGTCACTCTTCGTTAGCATCCGTCCAACTCCGTTAACGGAGTTGGACAGATGCTAACGAAGAGTGACTAAATGTGACATGTTTCAGTAATCCGAGTGACCAAAATTGATAATAATTTTTTAAATGACTAAACATGACATGATTTAGTAATCTCCGCGACCAAATGTGGCATTTACCCAAAAACAACTGAATAGCTATTCGTCGCCCTAAAATTTAAATTTTTTCGCCCTAAACTATACCATACAAAACGGACAATTTTATCCCTGATTTTAATAGTAACAAAAATAGAATCCCCTCCCCAATCACATCCCTCGCCACCGGCCTCCGCTCCGCCGTCGGAATCCAAAAGGGCGACGTCGTGCTTCTCCTGTCCCTGAACTCGATCCTGTACCCAACTATCTGCCTCGGCATCATGTCCATCAGCACGATTCTCACTCCTGCCAATCCCATTAACACAAGCTCCGAAATTGCCAAACAGGCCAACGATTATAGGGCTAAACTCATCGTCGCAGCTCCTGAACAGCTCCTGAAGCTGAAATTGATCGGAGGAATTCCCGTGTCACAATGTTGTGACGGTGAGGGACGAGAAGAAAACCAAGCTTAATCATGTCCTCTGGGTATAATTAGGAGATCAGATTTGAAGTGGTAATTGGGTTGAGGGACGAGGACAAAATCAAGCTTAATGATGTCCTCTGTCTGGGTATAATTAGGAGTTCATAATTAGGCAGAGGTGGCAGGTGGAAGAGGAAGAGGATGTGGACGTCATCGATTGCTTTTTCCTCACCTTCCTCCGCAGAAGTCGGCGTCGAGAGAGGAGTTGGGACTTCGAAGGTGCTTTTGTCGGTGGTTTGATTGAGAACGGAGGATGGTAATTGGTTTAAGAATAAATGTATAATTTCATATGTTTTAGAGCGATAAATTCAAATTTTTAGGGCGACGAAGAAACTCATAGTCAGAGTCAGAGGCACACAAATGAGGCAGCTTTCCAAAAACAAACAAATTACAGAGCCGCCATTACTACTAGGCACCATTTCCATGCTTATCACCTGTACAAAGCTAGACAACAAACATTCAAACAACTCATTCTCACGCAATGATCTCATCACTCTGCTTCCCAAAAATGCTAGGACCAAAAGTCGACAGCACCACCTCCGCCAACAGAGGGAACTGCAGAAACGCAAACAGAATCGAAGGCACAGACGCCACCAGCCCAATCGGCGCCAGAATCCATCTCACCTTATGGTACAGAATAATGTGCAGCGAAGCCCCAAATGCCGTCATCATGGCAGCAATCGACAAGAAGAGCGCGAAAAGCCCGATCCCCATCTTCATCGGCAGCGACCTCAGGAAATCCCTCTCCGAGTATCTCGCGGTCATGATCCCCAGAAACATGAGCAAGGAAGTTGAGCCGGAGAAGAGCGCCAGGATATCGGCAGCCACAAACACGATGAACGGCCCGTTGTTGATGTAGATCGGGACGCCCTTGTCGTTGGCTCCTCCGGGCAAGGTAAATGCTGCTGCGAAGACAACCGTGACGACGAGTGCCGCCACGACGGAGCAGGACAGTGCTGTGTCTTTCATCCATTTCTCCCCTTGCTCGATTAGCGACTTGTGCTCTTCGGTGAAGAGATTCCGCGGGGTCTTCCACGCGTAGTTCTTCATTTCGCGGTACGATGGTTGGACCATCTTCTCCACTTCCTGCAAAAACCATAAAAAAAAATTAAAACTTTTCCTGAAACAGAAATGGAGTATCAAGATCAGATCACAAGTTTTTGAGACTCACATTAAACCACTGCAGTTCGCGCTGCACTTTGAGAGCAGCGCCTGGAATCCTCTCCGTGTCCCCCAACTTCCCTGCCAAATGCAGTAAATTGTCTCCGGAATCCCTAACCCTCAGCGCCGTCGCGAAGTTTCGATTCGCGCTCATCTGGTACAGAATGTTGAATACCTTCTCCTGACGATTGATCACCGCGAGGTGGAAAATGTACATACCATTTGGATCGGCAAGCCAAATTGCATTCGGATAGGCCCTGACGATCTCGGTCACGATTTCGTAGATCCCCAATGCGGCTGCAAAGACAATTGGAGGTGCCAGAAGCCGATCGAATTCGGCCGTGGTCTCTGCTTCCAGAACGCCGGAGATCAGCAGCCTGAGGAGCTCCATCGCTCGTCTGTGTTTCGGGAGCTCCAATATCGTTTCGCCCCGGGTTTTTTCGACGTCGTCGGAGGAAGAACGAATTGAGCAATTCGTCTTGCCTAGTAAGGAAATGCAGTGCCGCCAGAAGCGTTGGCAGTGTCCGATCCTCGTCCCACTCGGAAATGCAAGCGGCTTCTCTGCTAGAGTGGATATGGCTGTTCGGCCGAAGGAGTCGTGCTCGCGAGCTAATGCAGGGAATCTTCGAAGCACTTCGACAGCTAGCCCTGTTCAACATTCAATTTGCAAAGATTAAAACAGAGTGTTGATTCAAATTTTCACTATGGAATGATGACGAATTTGATTACCGTAGAAATCGCCGACGATGAGCAGATTGAGCAGCTTGGCGCCGTCCTGCCCGGCGAACGGACTCGGATCCACATCCTCCTTCGTCACCGACAGCAGGTACTCGAAAGTCTCCCTGTGCCCGTACCGCGCCGCGGAGTGAATCGGGGCGTCGCCGAAGTTGTTGTTCTTGAGATGCAGCAGCGACGGCGCCTTCGCCACCAGAATCCTCGCGGCCTCCGTGTTGCCCGCGATGGCCGCATTGTGGAGCGCGGAGCCGCCGTACCCGTCGGTGAGCCGGACCGAGGTTTCCGGCAGCAGGTCGACGAGGTTGCGGACGAAGTGGAGGAAGCGGCCCGTGTTGACCGCCACGTGGAGGGTGGTCTCCTGCCACTCGGAGAGGCGGGCGGTGAGGGCGGAAGGGTCGGAATCGAAGATTGATTTTGCCGTCTCCCAGTCGCCGTTGATTACCGTCTTCAGGAGGTGGAGGTAGTGCTGCTGCTGATGGTTGTTGATGTTGTTGTCATTCCGTTGACTATTCGTCTCCATCGTGTTGATGTTGTCGTGCGGGAGGGGGAAATGAAAATTCGGAATAAGAGAGTGGTATAAGATCCAATATTGAGACGGAGAAGCGCGAATAAGGATCGTGGATGTACCGTAGGGAAGAAGCAGCAGAGTGTCTTTGGTGGTCGGGGGTTGAGTGAGAAGAAGTGGTGATCCTTTCCTTGGTCGGAAGGTTTGGGGGAGGGAAGAGTCAAACTCAAGTTGGAGAAGAAAGATTTAATGCATCGCCATCAATCAATAGAGGGGGGAAGTACAGGATTCAAATTTAATATTTACAGGCTGGAGTGGAGTATGCATTATTGTTTATTGGAAGTAGTTGGCTTTCACTTTGCATTTTGACATCTGTTTGTTTGGCCAACATTTTAGCAGTGTTGCCAAGCCGTGGTCCGATCGGTCGGCTGGATTAGGTCTGATAAGAGTCGTTACTGAAAACAATCTCATAAAGTCGTTTTCCTATCAAACCGGTAGCCAGTTAAAACCACAAAAAATAACCAATGATCTACTAATCTGATTCACTGGTTTTAGTTAGACTCCTAGATAAAATGGTGTGTATTGGTCCGCTCTCAAACCCAATTTTAGAAAACGACGCGAATATACGCAACTTTCAGGTTAAGATAATGTATTAGTCGCTAAATTAGTATGATACCTATCAAATTACATTCAAGTTATTAAAATCTTGAATTATTACCATATGTGTGCATTTATTTCTATACTATGTATAAAATTGCTTAAACCGTTTTATATATAAATGCTATACTATGTATAAAAATGCTTAAACCTTTTTATATCAAACAATCAATATAAGGAGGTTCTCCACCGGAACCCCCTTAATTCCCCCTTTCCTTGCTTATGCGCATACCTCGGAAGGCCTCTTTGGACACTTTTATTATAATGAGTATCAGTTTACCAAGGAAGCCAAGCGGCAGAAAAAAAGGAGACATTAGTGATTATTATAATATTATTATACTAACAATCTAAAATTATACAACCTAATATTCTTCCGTCCAATCTAGAGCTAGGTGTCATTTTGAATGAAATTTTCATTATTAACTCTATTGCGTTGCATCTACTAACATAATTTACACTAATAATTTTGGCTACTACATTTTTGTAATTTATGTCTCGAAGAAATACTCTCCGTTCAATTATTTGTGGAAACATATCAATTAGTGGAACCGTTGATAAAAGAACGAGATGCTATATATGAATCACGCACATATTCTTCGGAATTGTATGTATCCGCAGGATTAATTTGGAAAACTGGCAGGGATATGCAAGAACAAACTATTTTTATCAGTGGAACCATTGATAAAAGCATGAGATGCTATATATGAATCACACACATATTCTTCGGAATTATATGTATCCGTAGGATTAATTGCTTCAGTTCGATCGCTAAAATTGAATGAAGTACAAATAATTTTATTAGCATAATTATATACCTCTTACAATTTAATGTGTGTTCATGCCATGTGTAATCTAGGGAAAAGAGAGCATTTTTATACCACTAGAAGATGTGATTGATTCTCATATTTCTCTTTTTGAAGGACCAGTAATAAGTTTTCTTATGGTATTAAAAAGAAATATTTTTTATGATATGAACATCAATCGACATTCAATTATTCACGATCTCTTTAACTATTTCGCACTGCTAGATCTTATAAAACTATTACTCCCCATTTTATATTTTCAGAAGTTGATGCACATAAGTTAGAGTTGTAAAGAATTGATTAACCATTGAGAAAATTACCAAGAAGAAAATGTGTTATTTATATGAGACAAAAGTGTATATATGGAAAATTGTCAACATTGCAACAGGTAATCCATTTATTTAAGGGGTGTTTTCGATTTATATGTTATCAAATTATGTGTTGGATGCTAAACTTGCTTATTTTACTGATTTCTATATGTTATCCTTTGAATTAAAAAATGAGATGTATAACTTACAAGCTAAGAGAAATAGATTGTCAAGGTCCATCAAACTTTCTAAAAATTATTATGATCATCTTCGGGTGACGTGTTCTGGAGATGAACAATATATATTGATATTTATAGTATCTTAGTTATCCTCATTTATTTTTATTTTAAAATTTTAATCAAATGTATTTTTTTTATTGGAGTTTCAATTTTATTGCAATTGTTGAAGTGTTTGACATTGGAAATTTATATATGAATGTGAATACTGTGGATCCATGATGTAGAAGGGTGAAAGTACCAAACCCACGAGTAATCCAATCAACCAAAGTTTTCATTGTGTTGCAGGCGAGGCAAAGTGAACCTCCCTCCTTGAAGGCACTGTCCAAAGGTTTTGAATATGATATTGCAAACAAATACTTCAACGAGATGTCACTTTTTGGAACACATTCGAAGCCATAATGGGGTATTTATATTAACTCATTATTGGATGTAATCTGGGTCGGTCTATAAATGATGGACGCGAAGTATATGTTTATTCGATTGGAGGTCCAGTATGTCATCAAATCGGTAGCCTAATACCTAATGAAAGGAACACACCAAAATTTGCTCAACTCTGCATTAATGACACTGCCAATGAACTCGAAAATCGATTAGATTTTTTCACCACATATCCAGTTTCAAATCCTTTATGAAATTCATTTATTCAACAACTACATGAGATCTTGAGTTCAAGTAATATCTCATCAAAAACATTCCAACGTCCTATGGATAGATTGAATGACACCACTTCTAACCAAGTTGAAATTAAGTTGCTTGCTGAAAGAGAAGGGGATGGCAGAAAATGTGATTTACAATATGCAAATGAGATTGTTGCTTTCAATGTTGATGATACTGGGATGCCAGATATATATATATATATATATATGAATCACGTGGCTTGGGTTAGAGAATTAGGGACTGGAGTTTATCCATTAGAGGTTAGGGTATAGTATCATGTCCAAAATTTACTATTCAAAACACGTGTTAACCGGATTTTTGGGCATGATACTATACCATATTATCTAATGAGTGAACCAAAATCTATAATTCTCTAACCCAAACCATAAAAATAATTTAATCTAAAAAATTAATAAATGACTGTTCTGATTCATCGAAATATATCAAAGTACATATAACAAGTGTGAACGCAGACGTATAACGTACATCAGGCATATGCTAGCCCTAACCGTATATATATATATATATATATATATATCATCCAAGTTTAATGACTTTGCAATATCTCATATTATTCCCACATGGTAAGGATGGATGGAACCAAAATATTTCATATTATAGCGGTGAGGATGCAGATGGACTCAATGAGAAGAATGTGAATCAATGTGATTTTTCCAGTTACAGACTGTAAGCAAGAATGCAAGAATCAAGTTCATTGCTATTGTGAGTAAAGTTGTTCCGACAATATGTTCTTAATGCATATGCATTGGTTGAGGATGAGCGTTTGGATTGCATAAAAACAATCAAACAAAGCTTTAACCACATTAATACCAAGGTCTTTTGGATTCTTATTTGATAGGTGATCCAGATACAAGTTTGAGTGAGAAAACATGTGATTTTAAATTTATCACATATATGTAGTCCTCGATATAGCTACGAAAGCTTCTAGGATGTTATGACAATTTGTAGATGGGTAAGATATCCAATATTTTCATTATGTTTATATGCAAACCTGATTGGCCTGAGATTCAATACATGTTTGATTTGATAATGACTACTACTAAGAAAGTTCCTAATATAGCTTATGTCCTCGCAAGAGGTTTTGAGAAGAAGCTAAATCCATTGTCGAAGGAAGATTTTGGAGAAGAAATTTTATGGGAAAACATGCGCGTGTAAATTACATTTCATAGTTTTACTTTAAGAATCCTTAATTCATGCTTTGTTTATTAATTAATATTTTTCAATTTATATTATTATTGATAATTTTTTTCATTATTAATGTAATGGCAATTGAATTTCAAAATCGTAGTCTACATCATGCTCATTTATTAGTTTTCCTAGCCGCGAAAGAAAATTATATGGTCCTTCGGAAATAGATTCAATAATATATGTTAAAATCCCAAATCCTAAAGCAAATCTCGAATGCTACGAAGCATTTACAAATTTTATGTTTCATGGTCCATGTGACATGTGACATTCAAGGATCTAAAGCTCCATGTCCAACTAATGGTACCAATTTTTGGCAATTAGGACAAATCCTGGATATTATTGTTCATAACTTGAACGAGGTAAAATCTACTCCAATGAAAAATATGATTTGTATTTGTAAATATTTTACCATTAAATTTCATTGTTCAATAAATGCAGGAAAACAAGGAAGAGATTAATGAAATGCAAGAGAAGAAGGACAGGGCAATTGATAATGCATATAAATGTATCACTAATAGAGATGATGATATTATTATTGGTGGATGATAATGTTGCTCATGGCGGAATAAACAAGTAAAAAAGAAAATGTGCAACAATCTCTGACGATGATGACTAAATAAAAGTGTGGTTTGAAAATGTTTTTAGGAGTCAGTTCCCTTGCATGGGGTTTGTCTTTCGTTTTCGTAAAAAGATTTTAGTCGATGAGCCATTAGAATGTCGGAAAAAATTATATGTTGAAGTTTTTTTTTTTTTTTTTTTTGAATTCTTGAAGTAGTTTAATAATTTAGACTCTCTTATTCTACCCATGAATAATTTATATTTTCTTATACCACCAAAAGAACGTGTATCTCACATACAAATTGGTATTGTTATTTACGTAATTGGCGACTAAATCCGGCCAACTGGCCGGGCCCGTGACTAGTTATATATAAAACAGTTTAAACTGGCCAAATCCTGATCCAACCAATGAATCTCAAATCATTTATTTCACCAGCCTAATGGCTTAAATCAGCCTAACAATCTGTCACGTTATTCAAGTCCTATCTTGCTGCTGACTGGACATGAGTCGGGACTTGCCTGATATCAGTGGAGCAAAGGCTGCTCTATAATGATGCAACAGTTTACAGTACAAATGATTCCAAATTCCCTGGCCTTCTTACACGACAAACCTGGGGAGAAGTTTTTATCTAATCACATAATGCAACCCCGCTCGCCCGCCACTCAAATGGAACAATCTCAGAAGTCAGAATCTAAAAGAAAGAAAAAAGAAAAGAGGCATCTAAGGTTACAGTCTATGTGCCCTGATATTCATTGCAAAGTCTATCCAACTTGACAGCACGTCTTTTCCAGGTCATCTCTTCAGCTCGCTCCAAGAACGGCCACCAGTACCCCTGCCACGATCACGGTAGCCCCCAAACCCTGAACCATCATCCATCAGACATACGTCATGTTCATGCGTATTTAGGCGTACGAGCGAATTGAGGGAATGAAGTTCGCATCATCATCCTAACGAATATTCGGGCACATAGGAACGAATTGACGGATGTTCGCTATAGGTTGATTGTTAACCATACCTGTCGGAGGAGGAGGAGCACCACGACCCATGGCTGCTAATTCTGGGCTGACCTTCTGTCCTGCTTCCTCGAGTATGCTGATGAGCTCCTTAGCAAATCTGGCATTCCCGGCTGTGAAGAATGTGTAGGCAGTTCCTTTGGCTCCAGCTCTTCCTGTTCTGCCAATACGGTGAACATAATCTTCCAGCGACCCAGGGAAGTCGTAATTAATAACGTACTTAACATCCTTCACGTCTGCACAGAACCAAAAAAGAAAAGACCTATTTAAGAATTTTGGGCTGCAAAGAGCCACCCCACAATGTGGATCAAGAAAAAGGGTACAATCAAGCTTTTACATACCTAGACCACGAGCAGCAACGTCTGTTGCAGTCATTATAGGAGCCTTTCCAGATTTAAATTCTGAAAGTACCCAGTCTCTTTCAGCTTGACTCTTGTCTCCGTGAATGGAGAGAGCAGGCCAACCATCCATGCGGAGTTGCCTGGTTATCTGGTCACAGCCTTTCTTGGTATCCATGAAAATCAGAATGCGGCTGCCATCCATGATATCTTCCAGTAACTTCACCAATCTGGAAGAAGAAACAAACCATCCACACGAATACTAAGGGAAAGACCTGACATTTGCATTCTATAAAAAAGAAGAGTGAACATTAATATATAACCTACTTGTTATACTTCTGATTCTCTGAAATAATGTCCACGTGTTGGCGAATTGCATGGTTAGCTTTTAGATCTGCTGATCCTATAACAACCTACAAATAAACAAACAGAACAGAATAAGAATACACACATATTGCATTTCACGAGGCAAATTGAATTCAAGCTTAACCAAATGGAGAGAATGATTTTAGCTTGTCACATAAGTCGTGTGTATCTTACTTTGTATGGGTTGTAAAGAAAGTTCCTAGCCAGCAGCTCTACCTCTTTGGGCCAAGTAGCACTCCAATACAGGGTTTGACGGTCAGGGCGGATCTGCAGCAAATGCAAGTTACCAATGCTGAGAGCCACGAAATAACAGAACATGTTTGTGCTCAATAGGAAGACTTTTTCTTTTTTAACAGAGGAAGGCCGAATGTTAGAGCTTCACATTTCTAAAGTTTTTGCATTTTCTCTTGGAAGGCCATATAGGTTAAGCAACAGTATGGCTGTGCTTATGTGTTGTAATTTGACTAATTTCAATTGAGAGAAAAACATGGTAAGATTCTTTGCAGTTTAGGGGAAATTTGTAGAATGTTCTCCAAGTTTAACTTAATGGAGGGGAAAGGAGAGTGAATCATAGGCAACACGCATGGAAGAGCTATGCAAATTCAGAGAGTGAGGAAGCATCCCATCAATCCGGGGCACACCCTTATAGATTGGAGCACTACAATTTTTTGCGAGTACATTATAATCCAATAATCCATATCTTCCATGAAGAAGATTTCAGAGCTCCTAACACATTGTTAGTTAAACTTCGTGAAATTCAAGACTACTGATTCATATGAAGTGGCAGAATTTCAGACCTGGTTAATAATTTTTCGCATCTGAGGCTCAAAACCCATGTCTAGCATCCGATCTGCCTCATCTAGCACCAAGTAAGTAACCCTTCGCAAGTTTGTATGGTGCGATTCCAACATGTCAATCAACCTTCCCGGAGTAGCTATAACAATTTCTACGCCTGATAATAATAAAAAGAGATGTTTGAAGTGTTAACGGCCACGGGTTATGAACAAAAATTACACCCTATCTATGGAACTGACAGTAAAGAGGGGAAGTTGATATAAACTCAACTGCAATCATGCATCTGACGATAGCCAATTGATGAAAGCCAGAAATAAGGTACAGAAGCCGTCATGTCATATTCAACCACCACCTACCTTTCTGGAGATCACGAACCTGAGGTCCCTTAGGGACCCCACCATAAATGCAAGTATTCTTAATCCTTGAAGATGCGCCAAATTTAGTAGCTTCTTGCTGTATCTGAACAGCAAGTTCTCTGGTTGGGGCTAGAACTAATACAATCGGACCATCTCCAGGTGCTGCAAGTAAGGAAATACCAAAAATTAATACTATCCCAAGACTAGACCTTTATGGCTACATTGAAATAGACTGTAAACAAAATAGCAACTATCTGCACTTTACCTAATATTGGCTGGGCATTGACATGGACAATCGCTGGTAACAGGTAGGCAAGCGTCTTACCAGATCCGGTTTCAGCAATACCAATAAGATCGCGTCCTTTCAAAGCCATCGGCCATCCTTGAGATTGTATAGGGGTAGGTTCTGTAAAGCCAGCTTTACTAACCTCTTGCATAACATATTCTGGGGAAAAAACCCAAAACGGTAAGCGGAATAATTTCAGCAGTAGAGTAAAAGCCAGTCATGAAAAGCTTAACAATTTCAAGATAATGCCAAACCTCATTACCTGGAAACCCAACATCGTCAAAGCTCAAAACAGGCTTTGGAACATCACGTCCCTCCACAGTGATTTCTCTTCGCAGCCTATACTCCTCAACCTCCCTGTCAGACATTGCAGCGACAGTAGGTGATTCCACATAGAAATTCTTCTCAAATGGAGTCAATCCATCGAGATCTGATTTCCTTGGTGAACCACCGGCATGACTCTGATCCCGCCTTTCAGATGACGATCGTCCAGAACCACCACCATAGCTCGAACCACCACCAAAACCTGAATCACTAAAGAATCACAAAATTCACATGAAATGAAGATGCATAATCTGGCAATACAACCAGCTTTCAGCCATATGAGCAAAGAAAGTAGGAGAAAAATGCTACACAGCAAGAGAGAAGACACCGTCTCCATCAATGCCCTAAACTATAGTACTCTAAGCTTCAAAACTAATATTAACACTGCAGAGCTTCCAAACAGGAAACCAGTTCAAAGGGCCAGAAATTTCACGGCAATAGGATTCCAATAGCAGTGTAATTGACATCTCTCTTGCTATTTCTTCTCCTCTTAATATCACGAATCAATCACTGTTACGAAAAACCTTGCATTCCTCATACAGAGAAAAACCTTGCTATTTCATACAGAGAAAAACTTTCCACGCTCCTATTCCTGCGAAACTTATGAAATTATACCTCTTCCGGTCACGGTAAGAAGCAGGGTCGCCGGGGCGGCTGTCGTATCGACTCATGGCCAGCCGTTGCCTGCTTGAGTGCGTTCTTTAACAAACGAAGCTAATTGTGGGCAAGCAGAGCTTTCGTTCTCCCTTCTTAATTTCTCTTTCGGGAAAATTTTAGGGTTTCTTGGCTACCTGCAGAGAGAGTTCGACACTCGACAAAGATGGAACGAAGTCGACGACCGCCGCTGCTACTAGAAGAAGCTCTAAAATTTTGCCATTCTCGCATTGTTCACACGTGTCAGTATTTCAGTGGTTCGTTTTTGTACAAGCAACTTATACTTGTCTGTTTAGCGAAACAGTGTACGTTCTTGTGGAGTTCAACTGCGAAACAAGCCCAGACTATCAGCCCAATTCAGCCAAATAAAGCCCATCTGAGGAGGTAAACTAAGCCCATTCATCTTTCTATCCACATCAAAGCTCACATCCTTAAACCCATTTCCTAAACCTCTCTCATCTTCTTCCCAGGGTTCTCCAAAACCACCAGAGGTAGAAAAAATCGGATTTTTAGCGCCAAGATGCAAACTTTATCCATGATTGCTCCCTCTTCGTCGCCGTCTATGGCGACTGTGAGAGCTTCGTGGGACACCCAGCAGCGCCTCAGTTACAATCCCAATGCGCCGAAGAATCCCAACAAGAAGAATCTTGCAGAAACAAAAACCGGCAGTTTGAGTACCACCTCTACTGCAACGACGGGTACTGCCAGACCTTCGTCGCCCACGCTTAATTTGACTCCCCAGTCCGTTGCAGCACTTCTCCGGCGCAACATTAAAGGAAAAGGTAATAAATTTACTCGGCAATTTGTTGTTGGGTATGTTTGAATTGCCACAACGTTGTTGGATTGTACTGCGATTTGGTAGTTCGGAAATCTGTGCATGAATTGGGAAGTTTGTGTATGAAAATGGCCAATTACTTTTTTCGTTAGCTTGCTTCAACATTTTGAAAGGTTTCCGATAAGTTGAAATGGAACTCTAATGGGCAGCCAGAAAATGGCAAGATCATGTCAATCCTATGTATCTAGTTCCTAATGTTTAGTGTTAGATTAGAATTTTATGGTTCACTTTGAATTGTTGTTAATGCTTTACTTAGGAGCTTGATGGGTAATGCTCGGGTTTTAATTTTGTGCAGAGGTGGTTGAAGAAATCAATGAATCGTCATACTTGGGATATGATGTTTGGCTTCCGAGACCACCAAAAGTTGAGAAGCCTCGATCCACTTTTAATGCAGCAACTTTGGCATACATCGGCGATGGTATATATGAGGTAAGATGCTTCTCACTTCTTTGGATCATTCTAGATATTCAGCTGTTTAAGAAACTGGATGATGATCAGTGTGGAATACATTCATGATTCTTTGTCCCATTCCTGTTAACTTGTTTCAGTATGATCGATGCTTAGATAATAAGTTATGTTCTGAATTGCTTCCACTCCCCTTTTACATCCGATCAATACTTTGGCTTTCATTTCCATTAATTAAGATGTTTTTTTCTACTTTCTTTTGCCCCCCCCCCCCCCCAATGCAGCTCTACGCTCGCAGACACTTTTTATTCCCTCCTCTGAACATCGAGGAATACAACGAGCGTGTGATGGCAGTAGTACGCTGTGAGGCACAGGTAGATCCTCTTTTTTCCCCTGACAAACTCCATCCTCCATTCGAATTTGTTGAATCAGATTTCTTATTGTCGCTTGGCATATGAGCATGAACTAATATCTGAGCCTCTAAATTAATTGTGTGGAAATGCCCTTAGATGATTGAATTACCATAAACTTTGGTGCTTTTCATTGTGGTATTCACATTCATAACGTGCATTCCTCTCATGAGCACTTTGGAAGCTCAGATTTCTACACTTAACACGTTAAAAGAATGATATATTCAACTATCCATTCACGCATAAGCTATTAAAGACTTTGGTTTTACTTGAACATAACATTTCTTTATTCATGGTGAGATGTATGTCAAAATCAACATCAATATGTTCTGCTTTACAAGTTATTTATGATGCCTCTAGCATTTGTCCACCCTTTGCTTTCTAGAAGCAATATATAATAGGTTGATGTTCATTTCTCAATTGAGCTAATGATTGTGTTGACAAGATTCCTGTATACATTCTACTTCATATCGTAATTAAACTTAGTAGTGAGTTTTAATATAACATCTGCTGCTCAAATCAGGACGCCTTACTTCAGAAACTCGTGGAAGAAAATTTCCTATCTGCGGAAGAAAGGTTGGTAGTCTATACGAATGGCTTAAGAGTCTCACATATAAGAATCTTAAATATTTTACATAATAGACTTTGATGCAGAGGCATTCTTCGATGGGGCAAGAATGTCGGTTCAGCTAAAACACGGACAAGGAGGCGTGCTGGGTCAGCAGTTTATAACCGAGCTTCTTCATTGGAAACCCTGGTAACATCTCTTATCCTATGGTTTCCGCCAGTAGAATTTGTTGGGGCAGATAATAATAATCTTTTTCTAGAAGCTCACTTGTTCTTGCTTTACTAACATAGGTAAAATACATTTTATAGGTTGGTTATCTTTACCTCACAAATTCAAATCGTCTTGAAGAAGTCATGCAGAAGTTGGGATTCTCAGCTGGTTCTTCTGCTGATATGATTTTGAAGGAAGCCAATTGTAAGTCATTGCATACACAGTAATAGTTTTACTAGAACTTCTTGTTAGAAAATGCTCTCGTTGTTTGCCCACATGAGAATATGATTACCCATTTTGACAAGAAATCTTGAATTGGAGTTTCAAAGAGGTTGCAGGCACCTGATTCCATAAGACTTTTAAAAGGAACATTTGTTTGTCTGGCTATTCCTTAAAAGGACAAATATTATTAAAGGGCCATGGGCGTAGGTTAGTGTCATTGTACTATTGAATCAGGTAAAGCCACTGAAATTTTGGACCTTCTTATTCAGATGGTACAGACAAAATTGTTGGACTCGTTTTTGCTCTGCTATCACTGGATCACTCTTCTTGGGCTGATAAATGCTCTAGGACTGGGTCAGTATGCTAGGAGAGGATTTAAGAGAATAGACGTCAGAGACCAAAAAGATTCATCTAAGTTGCCCGCGAACTACAAACTTGAAGATGTTACAGATGGATTGAGAATAGGAGAATCAAATGTTAATAGGTTCTGTTGGCAGTATAACTACTGTCACCATTGATAAATGACAATTTCTTCTCGTCGATTCATTCTCTTATCTTCTAACGGCTGTTAACCTATGGAAACCTACTTTCGTGGTTAACTAATCTGCTGTTAGCCTTTGGAAACCTGTTATAACTTCACAGGAGTCACTTAATTTATGCTTTTAAGGCTGACCGAGTTTGAGAAATTGTAACAAACCTTCTAAGGACGTAGCTCGTCTTTCTGTTCTCCACTGATCGTATGATTGTTATAAAGTTCCGGACTTTGATATCTGTAATTGCTACTAATCAATGTTTTGAGTCTCTTCCAGGTGAGGAAGCTGATCAAAATGCATCAACATCGGTGATGGCCTAGAAAAACTAAAAGCGTATGAAGAGAAAAAAACCATCAAGATGGTCATCTCCAGGCAAGAAGTTCTGCAGATTGTGAGCACATATATAGCTTCTAGGTAAGCCAGTGTAAATCATCTGCATTGTACTGTGAAAAAATGGTGTAATCTGAAATTGCTCTCCTCCCTCAAACCTAATTCAATGAGCAGATAGGGAAAATCCAGCAAATTCCAACCAAGTTTTGTCCCTTATCAGGATTGGCAGTTTGTTGATAACTGCCTTACCCATGTTGAAGCATGTGTTTGAGGAGAGGATAAGAAAGAAAGTGGTCACTATGATAATCCAACAAAAATTAAATTTCCCTGGTAGGCAGAATTTAGAAGGTGGTGGGTTGTTTGTGATAACCAGAAGAAAAAGGTGATGAGGCAAATTGAGATCCACACTCCATCCACAGGGAGACATCCTTAACAGAATGTTGAGTGATCCAGAAAAGCAGAACAGATAAGGCTGTTTATCAAAGACTCTTCTATTGGATCATGTAGGTCCAAACATCAATGACTTGTTCCTTTTCTCTTTTGGATGTGGTTTGGCTTTACCCTACTTGATGCTCCTTATGAAATCCTGCTGAACGCAGAAGTGACATAAATATGTTGGGTTGGGTTTTCTTCTTAGCATCATTTTGGTTGTGCAACTTAACTCTTAATCACAGGAGAACCATTTAAGCTTAATCAACCATCCATAAGAATCAACTCTTTTCCTTGAAGAACTCCTATAATTGTCTTGAAAATCAATCAACAAGATTTTGTGGAGATGATTGGAGTGAATCATAGCAAACAATTTAAGTTTGATCAACAAACCCAAAAAAAAATATTTTTATTTGTGATTTGGTGGTGTCATATTCTGTACACGGTCATAAAAATTAGTCTTCAACAATTATCCTCATAAAAAATTATTGGCCCATACAGGTCTCGAACCTGTGACCTTCGCGTTATTAGCACGACGCTCTAACCAGCTGAGCTAATAGGCCAATTGATGCTATTGATTTCATTCTTTGATTTATTACCTGATGTTCAAAATATACCAGAAGAAAAGGGCAAGGTGACAAGGATGGTGATAAGGCTCCCTATCCTATGTACACAAGAGGAATCCATAACAGTAACCAATAGCACCAAGAAAAGGATATAACTGACCAGGAGCCTTCCTGTCTTCAAAAATTGTGTGTCTGTTGGAAATGTATTAAGGATAAAAATATTTGCTCAAGTGATAAAAGCTACGTACATGGATAGAGAGCTGAAGTGTCATCCCTATCCTCCAATCAAGCCTGTAGTTTTCTTCACAATCAATATAATCATAATTAAGCTTTTGTGGGGTTGTTTTGGTGTTAATCTTTGGAAAGGTGCATATTTGGTAATGAAAATGACATTGAATTAGTTATTGATTATCATGATTCCCATTATGAAGTGTCATCCCCATCTTTTTTTCAAACAGAATCCCCCCTTTGCTTAAAGGGTACTCCAAAATATTCCTTCCCTAAAGGAAATTACATCAGGACTAAGGAAGGCCACAAACCAGAATAAAGGGTACCTCAATGAATTAAGTGCCTTTGTAAATAACCTTGTTGATTGGTTTGGTCCCATTAGGGTTCCCTTCAACATGGGTTTTGGTCCCATTGTTTTAATTTCTGCCTAACCATAAACCAACCTTGGAAAATAGTGTAGAGAGTTGAATTACCAATCTCTTAAATCAATTTGGTTGTTAAAGCCAGTCTGGTGTGAAAGTTTTGTCTCCAGATGTCACTTTCTGGTTGTTATAGCTTGAATGACTCATACTATGACTTTTGGAGCAAACATTAGCCATGGACTTACTTCAAAATTTGAACTAGGAAGAGGATATGAATTATATTGTTGATGAGGTAACTCTACTCGTGTGGTGTGGATACAATCATCAAGGTTATCATCATGCATTATTGTGATGTAATAGAATTCATAATGGAAAAGAAAAACATATTGCGTTAGTTCATATAATCATCTGGGGCATTAAGTAATTTTTTTTTTTCTGTGTTAGTTTGATTGATTTGTACTGATGGGTCGAGTGAGCTAGTATGACATACATGATGTTAATTCTTAGCGAGTTTTAAAACATAATCAATTATGATATACGATTTGATTCTAGATCTTTGCCATTAAATCCACATTATTATCAGTCTCTTGACTCTTTTCTCGTTTTCATTCACGAAAATGACTCACCAGTAGATAGATTTTGAAAATGAGCAAATCAATAGATATAACTTATAAGCAAGAGAATGCCTATTTCTCCAAGGCACGGCATGTCAAGAAAGCTATCTTCAACTATGATTCCAAAAGGTAAATGTCACATTTGGTCACTCGGATTACTAAACCCTGTTATGTGGAGTCACTAGAAAAAATTAATATCAATTTTGGTCACTTGAATTACTAAAACATGTCACATTTAGTCACTTTCACGTTAGCCTCTGTCCAACTCTGGTCACTCGAATTACTTTTTTTTATGAATGTTACTCGAATTACTGAAACATGTCACATTTAGTCACTCTCCGTTAGCCTCCATCCAACTCTGTTCATGGAGTTGGATGGAAACTAATGGAAGAGTGACTAAATGTGACATGTTTCAGTAATTTAAGTAACCAAAATTGATATTAATTTTTTCTAGTGACTAAACATGACATGATTTAATAATATCAGTAATCAAATGTGACATTTATCCGATTTCAAAAGAAATAAATTATTTCACCAAAAAAAAGGAATTGGTATGTTTCCATATAGTATGACATCGAAGGAGGGATCATGTGCTGTAGGACCAAATGTATAATCATAACCTGTAATTGTGCATAGATATTGTCCCTTAATTTTACATGGGCTTAGATTGAGATTGAATTTTTTATATTTTTATTTTAATTTGAAATTTGAAAAAATACACTTTAAAAATGAGTTCATTGTGGTATATAAAATCATATGTATTTTAAATATATTTTGAAGAAAATTTTGCAGAACTGCTCCCGTTGTCACCTTCTACTACTCTCTACCACCTCTCTACGTCTTTTGTTTTAGCTCGAATTCTGATACTCTCTACCACCTCTCTACGTCTTTTATTTTAGCTCGAATTCTGAAACTTTTTCACAATGGTACACTTTCATATGCATGATATAATCTTCTATACAACCAAGCAATACCACCATGGTAGATTGTGGTAAAAACTCCATCAGTTGAGTTTAAACGAATGAGATCCAACTCGTTACACTTATAACATATTGGGAGAATAGTTATGAATGTGTGAGTAACCAAAGCCTACTCATCAACAAAGATGTAACAAGTGGGTAACCTTTCCGAAAGATGTTCAAACTAGTCTGCAACCTAACAATTCATCGATAGCGATTCATTACAGTGGATCGTTCTGAAATGACTCTTAGACGACAATTTATAATATGGGGTGGTCATTAATTATTATGGATAAGTATGTGATGAGAAATCTAGCATATATCATCGATTTCACTCTATTGAAATTGAAGCGAAAGTCGTTTTTGGAAGCTTCCAAATTATCTCAAGAATTTGATCATAGTATAGTATCTCCTTGTACAACTATCAAATTTTGGTTCACGTTTCACATGGTTGATCCACTATAAAATTTTGAAAAATTTAGACCACCCGCAGGTTCATTGTTTCGCGATCTCTCATCTATCAAAACGAATTGTTTCTCAGGTAAAATTTTGCTGCAAAGAATGGATAAACAACCATAATACGTCATTGAAACCAGCCTTTGTACATCAACATCATAACATATTAACATGTGGAAGGAATTTGAACCAAACAAATTTAAGGACACCCTTTCCTTATCTAATAACTTAAAACCTTCAAAAGAAAATAATATATCGTCAATAAAACCTCTATGAAAAGAACCTCAACTGGGCCTACTCCCCAAAATGCCATGTCAGTAAGCTGGCCCACAAAATTCTACACAAATTTAGCCCACCCTCTGTCAGCAAAACTATCAGAATGGATTAATCAAAGTGGAGGCCACCAAATCTCTTTCCCCAATTAAAAAGGGTAGCAAAATGAAAATATTGGAAGATGGTGACTTGGGTGATATATATACACCATGGCTAATCCATGAAAACAGTAGTGTTTATGTGGCAATCTCATCCACAACATAACTTCTTAGCTCATATGATAAGAATGGCAATGTTGCACCGATAGGTTTAAAGCTATCATTTGATTGTTGGAGTTGAAAATTGTAGATTTTCGTCATATTATTGGATTTGCAAATTGAAAATTTGGCGATGGATTGAATTTTAGGATAACTATTCTGTCATGTTTGAATTTATATGCGAATTTGATATGTGTGTTTAAGGTGAGTCTACCTTGCTACGGATGATAGTATTTTATTTTCGATAGATAAAACATTGTGGCAAACTCATCTTGGCAGGTGCATTCTCCAAATTTGTTGGGTTGGTTCCAAAATCGAGGGCGGATCCAATGACTAATGGGGTGCTTAATAACTTAACTACACCCCTCACAACCTTTAGATTTGAACACAACAATCCAACGGTTCAAAAATGAGAAGGACTTTTTAGTTACTGACAGTGGTAGTTTGGGTATTATGAAAAATTATGAATTATACAAAATGGACTTACAAACCATACAAATAGTACAAACTAGAACGACATAACATACAAACATATTTACAAACAACACAAAAGATACAAAGTATACAAACAATACAAAGTAGACCGAGAAACAATACAAACCATGAAAAAGGAAAAACAACCAGGTTGACTTTGGAGGCTCCATCCCTATATAGAGGGGGAAAGTTAATCTGCTAACTTGAAGATTCGTTAGCAGATACTAACTGAGATCCAAAATACATAAACTAATATAAAAGTACTAAAGTATCTAGAGAGCACAGACTAGTATTCAAAGTTTACTAACTGATATCCACCATGAATCAACTATTATCCCAAATTCACAAACTAATATCTAGACAACACAGAATAGTATCCAAACAGCACATAATTAATATCCAGATAACACATTAGAGTATCCAGATAACCCATAAGAGTATCCATATTGAATACTAGTTGGTTGATTGTAGATATTAGTTGGTATCTGCTATCTAGATACTAGTTTGTGATGTTTTGAATACTAGTCTGTGCTATCTAGATACTTAGAATACTTGGATATTAGATCATACATTTTGGATAATAATTAGTATATACTAACGAATCTTCAAGTTAGCAGAATAACTGGGCTGTAGAGAGGGGCACCGTCCCAAAGTCAACCCGGTTGTTTTTTAGACATACAAAAATTGTGGACAAAAATTACAAAGTAGACCGACAAATCATACAAAATGAAAAAACACATGGGTTGACTTTGGAGGCCCCATCTCTATATAGAGGAGTTTCATCCAAAAATCAACCAGACTATTTTTTAGACATAAAAAACATTACAAACATGGTTAACAAAAATGACAAACATGGTGCACAAAAATAACAAAGTTTACAAACATTACAAAAGAAACCGAAAAACAATACAAAAATATCAAAGCTTACAAACATTACATAATAAGCCGACAAACATTACAAAGCATACTAACAGTACAAAATAACACTACTTATAATACAAAT